ATAAATGGATAAATAGGCATTGGATCCTCAAATAAGAAGTGGTATCAGGTGGTCTAGAATGATTAAGCATATCATGCCTTGTGTATGAACCCTTCTACATAAATGGAGCAATAGTCACTAAAATAAAACTATAAAACCGGTTAGCTGTATGAACATCTCAAATGAGAAGAGTTAATTATGGAATTTCCCACACATGAAAAGTGTTACCAGGTGTTCTAGAAAGGGTGAGAATAAACTGCCTGATCAGAACTCTTGCATTAGTATGGTACCAATAATCAAACCCCTATGGTAAATTCACAATGGAATGTTTATAGTGGTGTGGGTGTGTAATAACAAGAGAAATATTTGACCATGGTATATCACTATGTAATGTGATATATGTACCATGGTATATCATCACTATGTAATGTGATATATGTATCATTGAGTAACACCTGACAATATTGACTATTACAGCAACTAGTTTAATATCACCACATGTTCTCACCATGATTTATAACATCTACTGACATTTCATCAGTCAGATTCATTTACTTGAGTACCATATTATTAGGATTTCATCATCACCCTTCTCATATCTTTTATCATTATTGTCTATATATAACACCTGCAGATATCATGACTTAAGTACCATATGACTAGGATTTCATCATCACCCTTCTTGTATATTTTATCATACCTACTGTCTATATATAAAACCTACAGACATCATGACTTAAGAACAAGTACCATATTACTAGGATTTCATCATCACCCATATATCTGTTATCATACCTACTGTCTATATACATGTATATAAAACCTACATATATCATGACTTTTTATCATCCCCCCATCTCATATCTTTTATCATACCTATTACTATTACAGTCTATACATGTACATCACATTCATGGGATATTTCTTGATTTTTGAGTAGCACCTGATATCACATTTATGGGATATTATTGGGTGTGGTTAGCACCTGATATCACATCCATGGGATATTATTGGTTGTGGTTAACACCCAATATCACATCCATGGGATATGTCTTGGGTGTGATTATAGCACCTGATATTACATCTATGATCTATGGGTTGTTTATTGGGTGTGGTTAGCAACTGATATCACATCCATGGGATATTATTGGTTGTGGTTAACACCCAATATCACATCCATGGGATATGTCTTGGGTGTCATTATAGCACCTGATATCACATCTATGGGTTGCTTATTGGGTGTGGTTTACACCTGATATCACATCCATGGGTTGTTTATTAGGTGTGGTTAGCCTCTGATATCACATCCATGGGTTTGTTTATTAGGTGTGGTTAGCACCTGATATCACATCAACAGGTTGTTTATTGGGTGTGGTTAACTCCTGATATTACATCCATCGGTTTGTTTATAAGGTGTGGTCAGCAACTGATATCACATCAACGGGTTGTTTATTGGGTGTGGTTAGCTCCTGATATCACATCCATTGGATATTATTGGTTGTGGTTAACAGTCGATATCACATCCATGGGATATTATTGGGTGTGGTTAGTACCTGATGTAACATCCATAGAATATTTATTTTGTGGTTTGCAAATTCACACCCATGGGATATTTCTTGGGTGTGGTTAGCCCCTTTTATCACATCCACACCTTATATCTGAAACCACACCTTGTATCTGAATACTATTAACGAAATGTTTATTTAACTGATAGGACAGCAAGCCTGAGTATATAAGGCACCTGTCACAGACAATGTCAGGCACAAAACCTCTGGTTTGTCTTTTTTATTGATATTATTAATACATGTCTGGCACTAAGTTGAAAATGTCAGGTACCAGTTCTTAGTGTCTGACATTTGTCAAGTATATCTAAAACCGTTATTTCCAAGTCTGTAGGACAGTCTGATGGAAACTGATATATGGGGATCATATCTACAAGGTCCACTTGTATAAATAATTTGTCCATTGGATTGGAGACAGTAATACATGTAGTAGCCTAAATTTTCTTCAACATAGTTATATCTACCTACATTTAATAACGAAACAATAATTATTAAAGATACATTACAGGAGATTAGCTAAAGCGTTGGCAGTTCTCATTATAATAGTTAAAAACTAGATAATGTAAAGGCAATTTGCTGAAAATTGATCCACTCTGAACGGAGATTTTAGCGAATGAATTTTCGGCCTAGCCTCGTCCATCATTACTAAAGTCTGTAAGATAAAAAAACAGTCTCGATTATCTATTTCATGATTAAATCATGTATGACAGTTGAGCAGCAAATTAGATCCTAATCCAGTAAATATCGTAGGCTAGCAATGACATCCAGAGTTGATTATGGTCTGGTTAAGTTAATTAATGTCTAATAATTAAGATAACAATTCAGGCCTAAAGAAAGACCTGCAATAGGCAGATTTAGCTATTGCATAATGTATAATTAAAGATGTTGTGTGAAGGACACAGTGTACTTTTGCTTCTAGAACACCAGATACCAGTAGCTAAAAAAAAATGTTTTGCTTTTGTATGTAAATGTTGGTAACCTACTAACATACCTGTCCCTCAAAGCCATGTTTTACCTGTATATACCTGTATTTATATAATTAATATCAAGGTGTGAGAAACATGTACTCACTATTTGTGTTTATACACTAAACATCATGTTGTAAAGATGTAACTGTCAACAATATGAATGTCCCTAACCACTTTAACATCATGGCAACTTATCTTCAGATTAGGTGCAGTCTCGATCGAAGTCTTAATTGTTGATCTAATAACCGGCTTTAAAAAAGTTCTAGATATAATTACTCAACACCGCTTGGGAAAGCAAACAGTTGTAAACCTGACATGGACCATTTTAAAAATGAAATGGGATTTAATGTGCTACTGTTCTGATCAATTCCAACTGGGCTAAAGAAGACGGGCATATGCCATATAATGTGCAATGTGGGGAAATTTTGCCCAGGCAGCAGCACTATGGCCTACTCTTATATCAAATTCCAACTGATCTTATATGTGCATACCAGTGATGGGATTTTACCTGTATATTCCAGACTTGTCCGAATCTTTTTTCGAAACGCCCAAAATTGTCCGACCGTGAATATGCCCAATCAGACACCAAGACATGGTGAATAATATTCAAATTCCAAAATTAATGTAGTGTACTGAGTGTATAACTACCGTGCAACCCGATTATCGTTGATAATAGGCTGGATTGATTAGGTAATTAAGTGATCGACTTTATCATGTTATATCGTCTTACACACCTACCTTGATTAACTACTATTCTGCCTTGATTGGCTGACTTAATTCTTTATCGGACAATTCATCAAATAATCCTGAACAGAAGTCATTGCTTCTCCTTTGTCGGACGATATATCAATCCAATAAGAGTGATTATAAACTTAATCTGATTAACCCGTGATTTCTCCATTGACCATTGTCTCACGTTTTAATCTCCTTTGTGTCGGACAATAACACATAGAAATTAGTCATATATGTCACATATCCTGATAGTATATAACACCTCAAATCAACATACATTGTATCCGATAACTTGTCTGTGATATATTTTCGGTGGAAGCCGAAGTTAAATAAAGATATTTCACACACATGGCGCTTATAGAGTTCAGTAATTCAAATGAAAGTACAAATCTCGCGAGACACGTGAAATTAAGAGATGTATACGTGCTGAATCCAATACGCCTGATGTTCGAGAAAAGATTCTATTTTGATAGCATATTGTCGGATTTATAATCATATTTTGAAGGGGGTTTATGTCTTTAAATAAATAAATAAACACGCTAAGAAATGTTGACGAATATTTCGATTGGAATGACGTAAGTAGTTAATTGTTTTAGACGATAGCGTGTGCTACAGTCGAATGCAATTATTTAGCAGTTGGTGTCACTCGCTCATTAGGGCGTCATTAACTACGGTTTACGGCCAAATAAATTTCGGGATGTCATTTTTTTACCTTCCGTATATAAATCGAAACGGAGTATCAGACGAATGTCGGACTTTGCTGAAAAATGTACCGACGTATGACCCGAAAAATACGGTAATTTTGGGGGAGTTCGAAACAGATCGGCAGCAGTCGGCACGCTGCCAATTCTTTTATAGTATTACGATGTCATGTAATTTTGTAGGAATATTATTGACATAAATTTGAATACCGTACGGGTTTTAAACATGAAATATAACGAGGTGCACCTATTTTCTTTTTACATATGAATTTGAATATATTTTGTTGACACATGATTCTTAATTGTGTTTTGAAAACGTCTGCTTAAATTACGGTAAGAGTTATGCCCCTTTATTTTCGGGAAATCCCATCACTGGTGCATACCAATGTATACACGGGACCTCGGTTTTTAGTCCCATCCTAATGACTAGACAGCTGTCCTTTTCAGGCGGACCATTTTAAATTACACGACAGTAGGAACCCAATATTCTCAACAAACTAATCATTAACACTCTTGCTAAAACATCACAACTACATGATACCGGAGTTGAATGAAAGATTCAAAGAAACTTTCAGAGCAACTTATAGCTCTGTGATACTCTTTAGGAAAAATACAGATTTTCAGTTTCCACGAGAGGTTGGCCAGAAGTCATCAAATTCCAAGTCCGCACAAGTTCATTGATAACTGAGGGAAAAGAAAACCAAAATATAGCAGAAAGATGTCACCGTGCAAGTCATCTGAATTCTATTTTCTTTGTGTTTATGATTATATAATTGTTTCGTGTTCATGGTCCATTTATTTTGTGTATATTTGGTCGTGCCATTATCCGTCACTGTTGGGTATGAGTATTATATTTTTAATACATCAATATAAATTTTTAAATGGGGATAAACTCTGCCAAATGTTTTAAGATAAATTGCACAAGTTAAGTGCAGTTTCAGGAGTTCCATGGGATTAAAAACTCAACTTTTTGAGTTAGAGAAACAACATGTCATTATATTACAAATGAAACCGATTTTATCTTTAAAATAAAATATGTCTGATGATTAAAAACTTACCAGAAATTGAGAACGAAGAAGATCCCTGTCGTCATGCTTTGTCTTTTAATCTTGAAGGGCAAAAAACGATCCAGCTTTAGTTCTTGAAATTTACATCAATTGATGAAAAAATAAACTAGTCAGGCGGTGGATTGATTTATCTCCTTCTTTCCCGGTAAACAAAACACAATAAAGATATCAGAAATAATCTGCAGTTCAATGTTATTGCTGATCAAACAAAAATGGTATCCGATGACCTGAGTGTTTCTGAATGAAGGATATTGTCACTATGTATTTTCCTTGTGTAATTCCTTGAGGATGGATAAACAGAAGACGTACTATATAACAAGATCTCCACAATGTGTTGTCCTTGCGCAACTCCTTGAGAATGCATACACTCTTTTATCCAATTAAATTAATCGCGATAAGTTACATGGTATCTTTAAAACTGAATTATCAGTAATAATAGTGTATAAAAACAGTTTGTTTTTTATACAGTTATTTCCCAAATTTATTACATCAGAATTAATCCGAGAGTCACTGCAAAAATAAAATAAAAAATGAAAATAAAATAAGAATTCTATGTATGTTGAAAAACAAACACAACTGATCTTTACTAATCTCCGAAATAAGAACTTTACAGGAAAAAAAAAAAAAAAAAAAAAAAAGATTGCAAAATGAAAAAAACCCAAACAAATTGTGAAAATCTAAGCAGCAAATAAAATGAAAAAAAAAATACTTTTTTCTTTTTAAAAAAATCGAACTATTGACAACCTTTTCTAATTCAAACAAATAAATGAAAAACCTTCAAATATTTTTGAAAAACACTGACTGAAGGCAATAAAAAAAATGTCCATGTCGAAGAAAAAAGGAAAACACAAACCTTATAAACTCGAGATTACACACAAAAAAATACCAAGAATTTCACGCCTGAGTCAATTTTTACAAGTGGTCCAAATGTTGAACTTTGCTAACCAAAACCAACTAATTCAATGTTGATCTCTTCCAAATCTCTTATACTAATAAACAAACGAAAATTTGTCAACACAGAAACTCTTGAGACATGTGGTAGGACAACTCTAACTGGGGCTCTTCACAGACATAGCAACTGGCACAGTGTCATTCTACCAATAACAGAATTAGGTCTGAAAACATCAAACACTAAAGGTAAAACTTTCCAGGGATGTTTTAACATCCTTTAATCAGAGAGTAGTTATAAAAGTATTCTGATCCTTAAGTTTGCTAGTTTTGTTCACATTTTTGATGATTCAAAAAAGTGTGAAACTTGAAACCAAACTTGGCAGCTAATAATACTAAATCCAGCTTGCCAGAACATGCTTAATTTTAACACTATGCTAAACATGCATGTATAATTTTGTTAAATAAAAAAAGATTGAAGTCCGTTACAATGAGAAATACGAAGAAAAAAAAAAATGAATACCTGGAAATTCAATATCCAGTAATTTGAACAATGGCAAATCTAAAAATAAATTTGACATGTCTGATGAAATATACACCATACATGCACAGCATCAAGCACATGTAGTCCCAAAATGAAATCTAAAAGGGCTTTTTAAAAAAAGGCATGCTGAGACATGTAAACAAACTAAGGTAATGATATATAAATTATTCACATTTATCATTTATTCATTTTGTATAGAGGCAGGTGTAGAACACAACATGTGGAACAACTTCCAAAACAACCATGTGGCTTCTACTACCCGATGTAATCCTGGTACATAGAAATATTGACTACCCCAGTTCCAAGAAGAGGAAAAAAAAACAGAAAAGAAAATGATCTTTTTAAATTCCATTAATTTTCTAGCTCCTTTCAAATTAGCCCTCAATGGCTAATCAAAAGAAAGGTTGAAACATTGAATACACAAAACTGCTAACTGGTACTCATGGTCAAGCTGTTCAATCAAAATTTATAGTTTTAACTGTGTTATGTGAACAAATAATTAATCTATGTACAGGGCCCTTATTCACGAAAACTTAAACTAAGATACAATCGAAATTTTAAGAAATACTGCAATTCCATTGGCTGCCCAATATGCAAATTGAATATATGCAAATTGATTTTTCTGGTCAGCCAATCGAATTGCAGTATTTCTTAAAATTTTGATTGTATCTTACTTTAAGTATACGTGAATAAGGGCCCAGGTGCTGTAAGTTTATTCTGTTTATTCAGACCAACATGTTATAACTATCTGTATCAAGTACAACAGGTAGAGAGATTTGTCTATGAACGTAAAGGAGTAAATGATAAATAAATAAAGGCAAGGTCATTAGTTCAGATGTTATTATACATAATCTACCGACACATAACTCAATAATCTACACAAAATTGTTATGTTTTCGCAAGCCTGGAAATAAGGCACCAGTCATGGACTTCGTCAGGCAAAAATTCAGGCACTGTCACATTTCTCTGGCAGAGATGCCTGTTTGCTTTCTTTTTATTGATACATATGTCTGGTACAAGGATAAAAACATCATTATCTCCAGACCGGATGTTTTCTAAAATAAGCATACTCTACTCATGTATGATACCTGTCGTAGATCCATCCACAAGCAGGTGTTTAAACAAGCTTTTACTGGTAATGTGATGTTTTCACAGATCGGCAACAAATTTATAAAATATGAATCTTGTTTTCACAGATAATTCCACAAAATATAATTCCCATACCCATCTAACCATAACAAATATATTCATGTAATGTATATCCTTTGTTTTCACAGATCAGCCGCAAAAAACCTGCTAAGAATTTACTCAACTTTCAATCACTGTTTATGAGAAATATCTTTAATCCAGAAGCACAAAACTTTGCACATAGTTTCTCATTGACGCATCTGATACATTAAAACAATCCATCTGCTCTTGGAACAAACCTTAACGATTCACCACTACCATGGGAACATATTTACATGAAAACGGAAATTCATTGAGGATCACTAAATTCTATCCATCTGGTCTTAGACCATTAAACTATCAAATAGGTCTGTGGATTCAACTATCTTCAATAAGTTTATTATAAGGTTGTGTAAACCATGTTTATTTACTGGGTAGACATATATGACATATATCAATAATTAATATAACTATTGATTTACACAGCACAAAGAAACTGAACATCTTGTAGATACTGGGTAGTCTAGTTTACATCATGAAAGACAATTTGATTACATATATGTTCAAACATATTGCAGGGCATGCAGGCAGGAAATGAAATGGGGTTTAACGTCCTACTGTTCTGCTCTGGCTGGGCTAATGAAGACAGGCATACACTGTATAGTGTGCCATGAAGGAAATTTGTCCAAACAGCTGAGCACTAAGTCCTACTTGCAGGCATAATCCCCACTTAAAGACACAGAAATCAAATGGGGTTAAACGGCCTACTCCTACATTGAATTCCAGCTGCAAAGGGGTCTTTTCTGTGCAAGCTAACTGTACACAGGACCTTAGTTTTTCATCCCATCCATATAACTAGACCCTGAGTCCTGCAGTTTCCAATAATCTTACATAATCGATGGGCATATCATATAAAGTTCCCATTTCCTCAGTCAATACAGATTTAATGAAAATAAATTGTAAACTAAATTAGAAATTGAATACCAACGAAATAGAAATTGAAAACCAACGAAATTGTAAATAGAAATTGAATACCAACGAAATAAAATCAAAATAAACATGGTGATTACCTGGATTAAATCTCTTCAAGGTAATAGGCAACTGATGTAACTCATTATTTGATGAAGAGGATTCTTATGACAACATTACCTGACTAAAACTATTATCTCGAATCTTGTAACCCCTGCCTGTGGTATCAATACAAACAAATTGTTCACTGTGCATTTACTCGTCTAAAAACCTTAATATTATTTAAAGATGCAATATGCCATGATTATATATGATGCCTGGATTGACGTCAGTTCTTGTATTGGATGTTAACCCATAATATGGTGTGGGTGGTCCAACCCATAAATATCTTAGTCAACAGATGATCTAGAGAGCTGACATTATAGTTAAAGATGCAATATGCCATAATAATAAATGAAGCATTGATTGTCGTCAGTCCTTGTATTGAAAGTTAAGCGATAATATGGAGTAGGTGGTCCAATCAAATAAACATCTTAGTCATCCGATGGTCTAGAGTCATGTGAATAACTAAATAATAATTTATATAACATTTGAAGCCAGACAAAAACCCACAACAGGCAGCCTTAGCTCTTATATAATGCATTTTAACACTAGTACATCAGAATATTTAACTCTCAAGTTAATAATTCACTTGCGACCCCCCCTTTTGTCACATACAAGTGTGGCATCAAAGGCCATGCAACTTGACAGACCTTATGATCTAAAGACATGTTAGACCATTCGGCCACCAAAAACCCATAAAAAAGACCTACAATTAACTCTCATTTGACTAACATATGGTTCAACATTAATAAATCGCTTGCAACCCTACCCCTTGTCACATACAAGTGTTGCATCAAAGGCCACACTACTTGACAGACCTTATGATATAAGGACATGTTAGACCATTCAGCCACCAAAACCCCATAACAAAAGACCTGCAACTAGCAGATTCAGCTCTCAGGTAATGCACCTTTAAAGGTAACACTGTTGGATGAAGTTCTGTGTAATTTACAAAACTAAAAGTAACCAATTTCTTCTTAATTAATCATCAGTACGTCGTCAGGTAAATCTTTACCTAGTTAAAGTTCTTACAGGTTGATCTACTGTAGGTATGATGACACCTGTCGCGTTAGTAAATAAAAACAGGTTCAGGTAATTTACCCGAATCATCATTCAATAAAAACATGTGATTAGACAACCTCATACCCCTCCTGATAATATAAACAGATGTTATTATATAAAGATGTTATTATTATTATTACGACCAATTAGTATGTTGTTATAAAAACATACTATTTCATACCACAAACAATTCGAGAGAAGTAAGATTTAACTGCACTTGACACAAACTAGGTTATTTCAGAATTAACACATACATGTAGTGCAATTTCATTTCAATAATAATTTGAGCGTAGACACCTTTTGCAGTGGGAGAAAACTCACTGGGTTGGACAGGCCACCCTACGGGCTTTGTCAGTTACAAGCTTCAAGCTTGGGATGGAAACTATGCCACTTGACTGATCAGTCCTCGTGTTTACATATAATGTCCGCCCGTAATTCTGTGATAATCTTTAACTTTCATGATCAGGTCTGAAATACAAGAGATAAAAGAGAATTTTGTCTTGACAGTGGTTCTCTGTACCTTCTCCTTCACCATTCCAACCAAAGCGAAGTGTATTACAACCTCAGCAGTAGCAATATATTCACAATAGTTTATTAAATGCACTAAACTTCACAGATTCTGTATGGAAGACTCTTAGATAGAAATTTATAATCTTTATGCAGCTAGTGGCCCCGCAAAGTATCTGAGGAGGCGTAACAGATTCTGTATGGAAGACTTTTCGATAGAAACCTTTATACAGGTAGTGGCCCTGAGAAATATCTGACGGGGTGTGACAGA